GAGAGAGAGAGAGAGAGAGAGAGAGAGAGAGAGAGAGAGAGAGAGAGAGAGAGAGAGAGAGAGAGAGAGAGTTTTTTATCGAAAGGATGAGCAACGCACCGGCCAACAGGTAAGTCTCCAACCCCGCGACTGGCCTCACACTACTTCCATCGAGGGCCTGCACATTGGATTGAGACGCACGGGCAAAGCCATGTGTGAGGGATGGATAGAGACGCAGGGGCAGAGCCCTGTGTGAGGAATGTGCCCTCACGAGGCCCTAAACAATATGCATATGTTTTTTTTTTGTTTTTTTTTTTCTAACGGAAACTTCATGAACGGGGGGGGCTGCTAAGCGCATTGATACGAGCATCCACGCTTAGCAGGGTCGCGGGTGTGAAGGCTCCATCTATTGGTGGGGAGTTGCACCTGCTGAGAACCGGACCCAGCGTACGAGTAGCTTAGTTGTTTGAACCAGATCTATGCATAAAGTTACAGCAAGCTGCGGTGCCCTCCTGCAACATGCATATGTTCTGACTCTGGCATATGTTCTGACTGTGGCCCCTATCAAGCTGGTGGCCGCCCTAAGTGAAGGCGGGCCTGAGTATTCATGAGAAACCCTTATCTCAACATTTTTCAATGTGGGTCTCAGACAGTTGATGCACGCCAGTTGGTTGAAGTGCAACCTGGGCCTCAACCTGGGCTCTTCCAGAAGAATCAGCTGCGTCAGGCAGTTCAACCGGAACGCAGGTGGTTGCGCCCTTGGCACACGCAGTGTGAGGCCGACACATCAGGAAGTGGCCCTGGCCCAGTGAGAACGCAGCATTGTCGTCAAATTCAGCCCGCAGGCCAATGGAAACACAGCAAACATCCGGGGTGTGGATATTGTTGGGTGTGCGCCGTGTGCCCAACCGAAAAGGGCCCAGGCCCTCAATTGTGGACATGGGCCTGGGCGCAGACACTGGGGCCCGACCGGTAGCTACTGAAAACTTTCGCGGTCAGGCGCAGGGAGTGCAGCAGCAGCAGCCACTTCCATATAGGAAGCAAGCCAGCCAGGGAAGGGCATTCTGGCCTAGGCAGGCAATGCGGGCACGGTGCTGCCTTAGCGCACAAGTGTCTGCAGTGCGCTAGCGGGCGCTGAGTGGTGAGGGGCGCTGCAGGGCAGCGGGGCGCTAGCGGCCATAGCCGGGCTGCAGAGCGCAAGGGCAGGTGGAGGGTGACGATGGTCTTCAGGAGGAGGCGCAAGTGTGGGTGGACAGGGGATGATGAGGGGAGTCGAGAGTACGTACCTGGTGTATGTTGGAGGTCGGCATTTTTTTATTTTTTTTTTGGTCCGCGTTCGGCCCGAACGGTCGAACGCATCCCCAACGGGTCCCATACGTTCGAGCGTTCGGGTTCGGGCGTTCGGCCCGTCCCGAACGCCGGTAACCCGCCCGAACCCGAACGCCCGAACGTATGGGACCCGTTGGGGATGCGCTCATCAAAATTTTTTTGAACAAAAGATATGTTATGGAGAAAAATACATTGCCTGAGCATTACATCCGAATTCCTTACCAAATTTGAAATAAAAATAAAATACGGAAAATAAATACTAATAATAAAAATAAATAAAATAAAAAGAGAATTAAAGTTAGTGAGTGAGCGAGCATGTTTTCGACACCACCATCTTTGGCGATTTTTTTTTTTTTTTTGGAACATCTTAATGCCCTTAAAATTTACAGATGTGTACTTCACATAA